ATTACCCCAATTGGAGTTGGCCAATTGGGTTCTGAAGTTATTGGTCGTCATTTGAATTCTATGGAAGCTCAAGGTGATGCTGTTCTAGACTCGTCATGGGAAGAGCAGATTGTGACAGCACCGAAGATATCTTCCAATCGCCTGAATCCAGAGACAGTTGACAACAATAAGGGTAAGAATGTAATTGATGAGAATTTAAATTCCCCGCAGATTGAGGAATTCCCTAAAGATCCTCCTTTACCAAAGGAATCTATTCAAAATGAAATTCTAGCTGATTTGGTGGAGGAAAAGAAGGCGGATCATGAGGATATAAATATGAATTCCAATTCAGATATCATTCCAGATTCTCTTCAGGATTTTCCGTTTGATTTAGTAAAACAAAATTGGAAAGGTCACATGATTTTTATTTAGAGGTCTGCTTGGGAAACTTATATTGGCGGGAAAGCTGATTCTTCAAATTCTAATTCTGCCTCTTCTATGGCGCCAAATTCAGTTCACACTCCAGCTCTTCAGTCATCAGGATCGGTTCCTCCAGGTTTTTCACGTCGTGTTGAAACGGGTACTTCCTCCAAATCTGCCAGAAAGCCACCTTTGAGCTCCAAGCATAATCTTTTTATCAGGCAATCCTTAGCTGCTAGGAAGAAGATCCGTATAAGTAAAAAAGGTACTTCTTCGCTTTCCTCTGCTTCTTCTTCAGCTCCAATTAATTCTTTATCTAAGGATGTTATTGAGAACATAGCTACCAATTGTGGTCTGGTTCTTTCTGATCATTCTCTAGATTCTCTTAAAGCTAAAGAAGTGGAAATGGGTCTTAGCTCCTAAGATTGGGTCTTGTGGTTAGTTGTTTGGTTGATCTTTATTTTCTTCCAATATGAAGCTATCTACTTGGAATGTGCGTGGTTTAAATAACCCTCTTAAGAGGCGTCTGGTGAAAGATTTCCTAGTTCGTTCTGCTATAGATGTGGTTGGCCTTCAAGAAAGCAAACTTTCTAATCCCTCAGAGAGAAAATTACAGTCTATAGGAGGAAAGAGGATTGTTAATTGGTGTTGCCTTGATTCTTTGGACACTAGAGGTGGAGTTCTAGTTGGTTGGTCAGAGAGGATTGTTAATTGGTGTTGCCTTGATTCTTTGGACACTAGAGGTGGAGTTCTAGTTGGTTGGTCAGATTCTTTCTCCTTAATCAAATCATATGTTGGTATCTTCTCTGTTACGGTTTCTCTTCTTCATAAACATTCAAAATGGAGTTTCTCTTTTACATCAGTTTATGCCCCAAATGAGAAGGATGATAGAGAAGTTTGTTGGTGGGAACTTAATCGAATAAGATTATCTTTTAATGGGCCATGGGTGCTTTGTGGTGATTTTAATGTTACCTTGCATGCTGATGAGAGAAATGGAGGAATAGGTTCATATAGAGACATCAACTCATTCAGAGATCTCATTGATAATTTATCTCTTTATGACCTTCCCTTATCAGGTAGATCATATATTTGGTCTAATAAACGTCTATCTCCTTCTCTAGCAAGACTGGACAGGTTTCTTGTTAGCTCTGAATGGGACAAAAAATTTCCATCTACCTTGCAATTTTCCCCTCCTGTTTGGGCTCTGATCATTCCCCTATTGTTCTAGATAGTTCTGGTCTCCATCCTGCACCTCCTATTTTTAGATTCGAAAGAAGTTGGCTGCAGAATCCAGATTTCATTCCTTTCATTACAAGTTGCTGGAACTCTTTCCGGTGTCACGGAAGTCCTGTAGATGTTTTCATTTCAAAACTCAATCTTACCAAAAGAAGAATAAAATGGTGGAAAAAAAATTGTCTTGGTTCTATTGCTTCTAGGAAAGATGAGCTTCTATCTAAAATCAACTCCTTTGATCTGTTGGAGGAACAAAGGCCTTTAACTGATTCAGAATTCCATGATAGGAAGTCTCTTCAATCCTCCTTCTCTTCTATTCTTCTAGAAGAAGAAACTTATTGGCATCAGAGATCGAGAATTCAATGGTTGAAGGAGGGTGATGCAAATACGGCTTTTTTCCATAAGACTGCTACTTTCCATAGGAATGCAAACTTCATTTCTTCCATTAATCATCAAGGAAAAGATCTGTCAAATGAAAAAGATATCTCCAATGCTTTTTGTGAATACTTCTTATCTATTTTTGGTAGGGATTCAAATTCTACCATAAGTATGAACTGGTCTCAGTTATATCCTCACGAAGATGTTAATCTTACCTCCTTAGAAGACACCTTCTCAGAAGATGAAATCAAAAAAGCAGTGTTTGGTATGAATGCCAACAAAGCTCCAGGCCCAGATGGTTTCTCTATGGCTTTTTATCAGACTTTTTGGGATGTTATCAAGTATGATTTGATAAATTTGATGTCTTTTCTCCAACACAATCCTTCTAGCTTATGTAGGGTGAATAAAGTCTTCATCACTCTTATTCCAAAAATCAAAGATAGTGTTCTAGTGAAGGATTTCAGACCAATCAGTCTTATAAATTGCATTTTCAAAATTTTTTCTAAGGTGATTGCTAACAGACTGGCTCCTCTTCTTCCTGTTTTAGTTTCTCACACTCAATCAGCCTTTCAGTCAGGAAAATCAACTCTAGATTCCATTGTCATGGCTAATGAGATGATTCATTTTTGTTCTAAAAGGAAAAGTGAAGTTGCCATGTTAAAGCTTGATTTCACCAAAGCTTTCGATTCTATCAACTGGAATTTTCTAATTAGCTTACTCAAAGCTAGAGGGTTTGGAATTAAGTGGTGCACATGGATTTATCATATTATATCTTCTTCTCAGTGTTCTATTAAAGTTAATGGTTTACCTTCAAAATTCTTTTCTTGCAAGAGGGGTCTTAAACAAGGAGATCCTTTATCTCCAATGTTTTTTAATATAGCAGTGGATGTTTTACAAAAGATGATACATAACAATGTCGAAGATGGAATTTTATCAAATCTTGGTATTAAGCCACCCCTCATTCAGTTAAGAATTCTACAATTTGCAGATGATACACTTCTTTTTGTTAAGAGCTCTTCAAAGGACATTTCTATCCTGAAAATGATTCTTTATTTTTTTGAGGATGTCTCAGGATTGGCAATCCATTATTCCAAATCTTCCCTTGTTTACTTTGGAAAAATAGCTATGAAGAAGCATCTCTTATCTAATTCCCTTGGTTGCAAAGCAGACTCTCTTCCTATTAAATATTTAGGTATGCCTCTGAAATATGGAAAGTTGAAGAAATCTGATTGGCAACCTATCTTTGACAATTTTCATAAGAAGCTTGCATCTTGGAAGAGGAATTCTTTATCATATGGAGGAAAATTAGTCCTTCTAAACTCAGTGCTTACTTCTATTCCTTTATACTTCATGTCGTTCTACAGACTTCCAAACTGGGTCATCAAAAGTATTGATAAAATTAGGAAGGGTTTCTTATGGAAGGGAGCTGAGAGAGCTAGTGGTTTCAATTGCCTAGTTAACTGGAAAAAAGTATGTTTAAGCAAATTAGAGGGTGGACTAGGAGTAAAGGACATATGTGTTTTCAACAATGCTCTGCTTTCAAAATGGTTATGGAAATGCCTAGATCCACATTCATATACTGGAAGTTTTCTTCGCCAACTGTATTGCAACAGAGGTTTATCCTTTCAAATGACTCATTCATCGACATCATTTTCATCATTCTGGAATGCCATAATATCTCTTAAAGATGAATTTCTTCATAATATTTCGTGGACTCTTGGTGAAGGTGATAAAATTCGCTTTTGGGAAGATAAGTGGACAGGTTCAAACACTCTGGCAAGCCTTTACCCTTCTCTTTATAATCTAGCTTTCTCTTCAAATGTTCCTATCTACAGTCAAGCTCTTCTAATACATTCTATTTGGCATTGGAGACCTCTTTTGCGGAGATGTATTTCTCTTTGTTCTCAATCTGACAAAACTGATCTTTTGAACTTTTTGAGAAATTTTCATATTTGTCATCAATCTGACAACCCTGTCTGGTTGCTTTCTAAATCTGGTATTTTCACAGTGAAATCCTTCTACCAGTTCCTCATCCAGAGAGGCTCCTTATCACCTCATTTCAAAGTTATATGGAAGAACTCAATCCCATCAAAAATCAATTTCTTTATCTGGCTATTATGCAATAACAAACTTCACACAAAGGATAACCTCTTGTTATAAGGATGGACAGGCGATCCATCATGTATCTTTTGTGGCTTTCATCAGGAAAACAGGGATCACTTATTTTTCTCCTGCTCTTTATCTGCACAAGTTTGGACACATTTTAAGAATTACTATCTCCCTTTCCCATGGCCATCATCTTTTGAAGATCTTATATTAACTGTTAATAAGCTTCATGGTAGAGATGGTTACATCTGGCGTAGCTTTTTTTCATTCATCTGCTGGAACATTTGGATCAGTAGGAATAAATCAATTTTTGACAAAACTTCTTTTTCTTACAAAAAGATCATTAATCAGTCGATTTATGGATTATATGATTATGATTGGTCAGATAATGGAAGAGGTGTTGCGGCAAAGAAACTCTCTGCAAGATTTGAATATTTTCCTCTCTCTCGAGCTAGTGTCTGAAGATGGAGGACTTTTGATTCATCTTTTGTATAGTTTTTGTTGTGTATATAGCTGTTCTTTATCTTTCATATGTTGACTATAGAAAATTAAAATTCTACTATGCACATGTATGGCTGGCTTTGGTTCATCCTTAAATCTGTGTCAACGGTGAATAACGGCAAGGCCCTCTCTTTATCTTCATGAATCTTTGGATGAAAAAAGTTATACATCACTACTAGTAGAATTTTCATTTTCTATTTTCTAACATTTTGGACACAGTTCGTGTCTTACTTTTGTAACTAAACAATTTTTGGATTCTTGATATTTTAATGAACAGGGTTCTACCCCTGTTTTTCTATCAAAAAAAAAATAATTAATATCTTTTTTATGACTGAAGACGTTAGTACCAAAACATGTCATCCAGAAATAAGGATGCAGCTCCGAAAGCATAAAAGTAAATCTACATTATTACTTGTATGACTGCAACACGAGCAAGCACCATGCCAATGGCAAATGTTTGCCAAAAGATCATAAGATTAAAAAAAACAACTCAAAAACAAAACTAGCAGATACTCTTGAGTTGCATCAGCAAACTTTTCGATCAGTGTGCTATGACAGCACATACACGAATAAATGGCACAAGACATTTCCACAAAATCAAAGATCCTGCAAAATATAGAACCCGTAACTTCGAGGGACAGAGATCAATAACATGCCCCGGATAGTTGAAAATTTCCCGAATTATTCAGAAAATCCGACTTGTCTGAAGGACAGAGCCACAGATGTTGACCTACTGAAGTACACAACATACTTAGTGCTCAACGTAAAAAATAATTAGGGGGAGACAGAGGGAGGGAGGGAGAGAAGGAAGGCTCAACAGAAATCCGCCCCCCCCCCCCCCCCCCAAATGAATAAAAAACCAGGTACAACTAAGTTAATTTACAGTGACAGATAATGCATCCTCCAAACAGCCAACACCCCTTTTCAGCAGCCTGATAAACATGTCGAAAGAGGAAAGGAATCAATAAATGTGATCATAGTTTAGTTCGACAAAGAGAGAAGCAAGTTATTTGAGGATCAGCTACGAAGCTATTTCAGTGGCCGATAAATGTCAAGTATCCTCCAAGTTTCCCCTCTTCCAATAGTTTAAAAGAGGAAATAAATTCCCTGGATCAGCCAATATCGCAGGCAAATGCATTATAGCTTCAAAAAGATAAAATAAAAGAGATGAATAGCACCTGCTAGTGATGCAGGACAAGTTATCTTCAACTAATATTGTGTAGAGTACTGGAGGTTATAAAGCATCTCTCGACGGAATTCATTGCCCATACGATACTTGAACTTTTGGGCTAGAGACTGTATCTTCTCATCACTAGCAAAATCTGATTCTCGAGAGCAGCGTCTTCTGACTTTCTTTAAAGTCTCTCTTGAAGGTGTAAACCCTGCATCAACCTGCTCATAGAAACAATACCCCATGGCTAGTCAGTTCAGAACGTTCACGAAAGGGAGGATTGATTTAGAATTTTTATGCTTATGACCCTTTTCAGCAACTTATTTCCCTTGTTTAACAGAGCATATACCATTCATGAAAAGGTGTCAGAAATGAGAATAACCTAGCTATCGTTCGTAACCCACAAAAGTGCATGATTGTGCACACAAATAGGGGTGCAGAACGATAGTGTAGAAAGGAGTAAAAAAATATACCATCTGATCAAGCATAGAAATAGCAGCCTTTGGATCTCTATTGACAAGATTTGCTTCAATTAGCAATCTATATGTAGTTGCATTTGGCTTGACATCTTTACTTACTAAATGCTCAAACACTGAAGCAGCTTCAGACGTCTGTCACAGAAAATATTCAAAGTAATCTCAGTTATCATCCAGATTAAGAAACAATTGCTACTACAGAAAAGGGGGAGAAGGCATAAATTATTTCATTAATTTGCATCTGAAGATAACCTGTGACCTTACCTTTTTCACCTTACCAAATGCACACAATAGAGCATTATAAGAATGTATATCAGGTGTTAACCCAATCTTTTCCTCAATGGCCTGAAAGGTCTCGTAAGCCCGATCAAGATCCCATATGTTTGCACAGCCTAATATTACACAGTTGAGAGCAGCAACTGACTTGTAAGGTGTATCTGCACGACTCAAGTTCTCCAATTGAACATAAACCTGACAAATTCATTGAATGGGCCTTAAAAAAGTTCCATCTATGCACATATGCTTATTACAAAATCTTATCCACCAAACATTGAAGGTTTTTAACAGAATGCAATGATATAAAGGTGCAGAACTATGAAGCACGGACACGCATAACATGAAGCCGTGTCGTGTCGTGTCCGTGTCGGACACATGTGTCGAACACACGTATCCTATGTATTTTTTAGGATTTGCCTCGTGTCGGCGTGTCGGATGGCCGTATCGGATCCGTGTCCGTGCTACATAGGTGCAGAATACAACATACACTTTACTTATTCATGGAGCTGTTCATGTATTAAGTTTCGATTTTGAATGAAGTTGATAAAACCCTAACACTGTGATTTAGCAAATGAGTAAAATTTAGCTGAATCTTGAAAGTCATAAAGGTGATTAAAATGATAAATAATAAAGGACTACCTGGATAAATAAATATAGCAAAGGTTTGAGAAGCTAAAGTTCATTTATCACATACAACACTTATTAGTGACCAATCTCAACAGTAAACTAGAGGAATAGAGCATAAAAATTAAAAAATAAAATAACTTTAGAAGGATCCGAACCATCATCCAGAATCTACACAATAAGGACGGACAATAAATGTGCCTCCTTGTAAAACTTTTCTTTTTTCATAAACTAGATGATAGCTGGGTCTTGAACCTGGGGGCTTTCTATAAACTGACCTCATTTTTTACGAATGAACCAGGACTCACTGTCATCTACTTATGAAGACATTTCCACCACCAAATCTTCAAAGTTCTGATAAGGGTTGAGGGTTATGCATTTATACTAACACCTAACTAAGAACAAAACCAACACCAAAATTCGCATGCATTAGTGCCACCATAAAACCCATTTTCTGTAAAAGTTAAAGGTTTCTATTGCTCCCTTGTTAACATTAACCCACATTAATGCTCGCATCCATCGTTGCCAACACCAAAGCATTTTAAGTACAAAGGCTAAACTTAAGATTGCCCATATCAACCAGTTATTTGAAATAAATTCAAGTAAAAGACAAAGCACATGTAGAAAGGAGACTGTAATAGCACAAATTGCCTCAGACATAAAGCTACCTTGTCAATGTAATTTCAGCCAGTGTACGAAGGAGCAACCATTACATACTACCATAGATTAATACAGAGTACAAAGAAAGTAAGACGATGAGTTTTAGCTACAAGGAATTGAGTTGCTTAAGCCAGAAGCAAAGGAGAAATTGGCAGTACATATTCAGATATTCAGAGTAATAAAAGCATTTAATCAAGTATCAACTCAGAACAGCTTATGCAATTTGCAACCTGATTAGATTTCGAATTACATAAACCAGTGGGGGCATATGAGTTTTTTGATAGAAGGAAAATTACAGCATGGCGAAGTTGGTCAAGATATATGCATCAAGAAAACGGGTTCAATCCCATACAGTAATGCAGTGAGTGGAGTATGTCCACAAAAGTTTGAAATTCTATAGCATGAAAAATAATAAAGGACCGAAATGATTTGTCATTTAACTTGCAGAGCTATACATAAACGAATCAAACAAAAAAAACTCAAAGTTAAAATATGTAAAAATAATAATGATAAAGAGAAGAACCAGAAGCGCAAAACATCAAAGAAAATGAATAAGACTCCCTCTGTATAAGTGATCAACATATCGAATACTTTACATGCTTATCACATAATTTTGCGATGTTCATATTTACATGTGGATCTACTAAAGTAAATATCATTTATTTGAGTATTTCCACCTTAATGTGTTGTCTTCCACATAATGTGTCAAGTAAGGCGGACGATCTGCTCCGTATCCAATTTCATATTTTTAAATGTTGGATCGTGTATCAAATATATATTCAATAATAATAATAGTAAATAGATAAAATACCAAAGTAAACAGTGAATTTGTTTCAATGTACATATGTTAAGTATTAATATCAGGTACTACACAATGTAATATCTTTAAAGATACAAGTTCATACAATATTATGTATTTTTGACATTTTTCAGGTACTACACAATGTAATATCTTTAAAGATACAAGTTCATACAATATTATGTATTTTTGACATTTTTCTCATAAATTTACTAAGCAAAGGATATAAGTTTACAAGTTCATACAATATTATGTATTTTTGACATTTTTCTCATAAATTTACTAAGCAAAGGATATAAGTTCTCTGTTTCCAAGGTCTTGGCTCATATAATTTCCAACTAATGTGAATACTAATTTAGAACATCTCTATCTGTATCTGCTAATAAAATATAACAAATATGGATATGGTAACATCTATAAATGCTTTGTATCTGAATAGAATAAACTTTGACTGTGTTGTCTTTCATATGAGGAAATGGACTTAAATAATAACACAAGCAATAGTTCGCCATGAGGCATGCCCTACAAAAACTGTTTGGTTCTTATACAAGACCCTAGATTATCTCCATGTTTATAAATGTATTGCAGATTAAAGAGCACTTAAAATGCACTTCATCAAATAAGATCTTGGAAGACACGGATGTTACATGATTTTTCCTTTCAACTAAAAAATAAATAAAGGCAATAGTTAATTATAACAAAATTACAAGCAATGTAACAGAACATTGAAGTGATGCAAGAAATATTATCACTGCAAGAGTGCAGTGCAGGGCGCAAAATCCCTTTATCCATATATACGCAAGGCGCAAGGCGCAATGCGATGTGTGCGTGCACCCAAGTGAAGTGAGGCGCATACCACGCACATAAATTTTCAAGATAGATGATCAAGCATGAAAGAACATGTTTATGAATATTCACATTTAACACATGGCAAGATAAATAATATCTACTACGAAATCACAGAATAAGGTCTCAGTTTCTAAAGCTAACACATCAAACATCGTAGTGAAGTTCATAGTTTTCCAAATCAAAAAGTCAAGTTAAGACTAATATCATTGAAAATTTTAGTGTCCTGAATCAGACTACTAAAAAGGCTTAAGGGTTTATTTTGCTCTTTTGGGATATGGGTTATCGGGTATGGTAGACACAAGTGAAATGTTAAAGAACAAAAAAATATATAAGGCTATGCCTTGCATGCGCCTTGCATAAGCAAAAGTCACTTGCAAAGCGCAAAAGGCATTATTGTGTCAAATGTGGGGCGCTTTGCCACCGCTCCGCATCGCAGGGCGCATGAGGCGCGCACCTTTGATGACAATGGATGCAAGTGGGTCTTTTTCCATTTATTTGACAATCTAAATTCATCAGGCTTCTATTGAACAAAAATGGTATTAAATCTTCCTAATACAAAGCTCATAGTTGGATAAGATTAAAGCAATATCCAATTTATCCAATCAACTGTTGCGAATTTACAATGCTTTTGTAGTTCAATTTGAATAACTAATAAGAGCTGATAAGGCAAAGCTGTATTATAAATAATTCCGAGACATTTGTTCCTTTCTTAAAAAAATGTATAACACCAATGAGTCAAGACTCTAGAAGATAATAAACACAAAGAAAAACAATAGCAAGGAACATTATATACTGTGAAGTGTCAGTATAAATGCAATTCTGAAACAAACCCTCAGCTTGACAAGTAAAAACAGTGACAATTAATCTTCTTTGAAGAATTCAAGATAAGCATTGCAGGGAAGTGATGTTAAAATTCTTCTAGAAAAGAATTTGAGGCATACCGAGTCCAAGGTTGAGAAACCATTTCTGCAGCAAGCAACAACCAGTGGATGCAATGAAGTAAAAGGAGAAAATAAGTCTGAATCGGTAGCAGTCGTTTTCCCGTACACAGTTTCAAATTCGTTAAGGGTAGCAAAAGCACGTTGCAAATTCCCAATTGATGCATACGCATAAATCTTTGCGAGGAAAGTTTCTGGACTTGGTGCCCTCTTCTGACGAAGGGAACGGCGCAGGATTGACCACGACGCATCTAGAAGGTTAGAATTATATGTTCTAGCTGCAGCACCAAGAGCTGAAACAACTAATCCTTCGTCGACAGAAAGAAGAGTAGGTGGTCTAGCAATTTCTCCATGATGAATCCATCGATAAAGAAATTCCAAAGCATAGTAAGCCAATTTGCTATTATCAGCTTGCAATGCAACATCAGCAATAGTGTTACACATGTTCCAGTTTGGACTCAATGCCTTGTTCTGGTCACTTGTCTGAAAGCATACATACAGATAAGGACGCACGATCAATGTAGGCAATGAAATCAACACAAGAAAATTAAAGACATTAAAAGTTTATAGGTCAGTCTAAGACCTAACATAGTAATGGAAAACATATGCAAGTCAATTGCAAACTTTAAATGAGATTCTGGAGCATATTAATTTATCTGCTTTGGAGATTTGAATTAAACCTGACATTGATACCTTGCATTTCTGTATGATGGTTGATAAAGTGTCCAGCCTCCCAGCAGACAAGCAGCGCCACACACAATCCATGAATGCGCTTGATGAAAGCATGTGGCCAGATTTAAGCATTAAATCCAAAAACTTCAAAGCTGAATCAATTTGGTTTCTTGATATTAAAAGACCAATAACCAAATTGTATGATTCGTCATCAGGCATAATGCCCGTATGGATCATCCTGAAATCAATCGATAAACAATCCTTCACGTTTATGACCGTGAGTTTATTTATACAATAACAGATTAAACAAGAAGTGGTTACAGAATCTAATTTTATTAATACATCCGATAATAAAAAGTCACATAGTAATAGAAACAATATCAACAGTAAGTCATTTAAATAAAATTCTAGGATGAAAGGGGGGCGGTAATTTCCAGATGAATGCTTCAAATTACTTTCAATTTTTGCAGCACATAGAGGGAGAGAAGAATGCAAAAGGAAAGTTACAAATTTCACCTTTCTTCTTATCATATCCTCAATTCCTTTTTACTGCCTCGATATGTATTTTTAGATTTACAGCTATAGTTTATTCTCTCTATTCTAATCCAAATTGCCACGCTATTACTTTTTGCTCTCCGTATCCTATTTAGTTACATCCATATAGATGCACGAATGTATATATTCAAAATTTTCCTTCCTCACCCTAGGTATGTCCTCAACATCAAGAACTAAATAGTTGTGTTTTGTGATTGATCTTGTCACCTGAATAAAAGCAAAAAAAAATTCTTATCACTGAAAATTGGTACAAACCTTAAATACAAAAATATGATAAAACTAATACATGCTTTCAACTGGAATAAAGCAGACTATTTACAATTTAAGCAGCTCCAACCGGACTCCATTTTTTGGAGTCCGGCTGCAAAACCTTGAACCCGGCTGCATATTTGGAGTTTTTGCTCCAAATATGCAGCCCCCCTCCAATTCACTATTCCCCCTACAAAATAACAATAATACCCTTCTAACTAACTAATTATTTTTAGATATTCAACTTAAAATCAACATAAGTTTATTTCTACTAATTATTTTTAAATAAAAGTTTAAAAGTTGAAAATATTTTGTCGATACCTTCAAAATGAGACTAATATTGAATAATATTAATTGAAATATAAAATATCAAGAACCAAGTAATTAAAAATGAAAAAGTCATTATTTCATTATTAAAAAAAGTTACATCGCTTCATTTCCATGTCTTTCCCACAAATGTTCAATCAATGCATTTCGAAGTGCAAAATGAGCTTCTTTGTTTTTCAACCTCTTATGTCGAGCAAGAAACCGTTGGAATCATTCAGTTTCCGTTATCTCCATATTTTCAGCATTTGGAATTGTTTGTGGAGTTGAAATGACAACATCTTCTTGCTCGTCGCGTTCATCTTCGACAATCATATTGTGCATTATAATACAAGCAGTCATGATATCATGCAGAGTTCGTTTATCCCAAAAACGGGCTGGCCCCTTGATGATAGCAAATCGTGATTGGATAACATCGGATGCCCGCTCAACATCTTTTCGACATGCTTCTTGCATCATTGTAAAATATTGTTTCTTTTTATCATCGAAATTAGAAATGGTTTGAACAAGTGTTGGCCATTTCGGATATATGCCATCAGCCAAATAATAACCGACATTATAATTTTTTTCTTGAATTGTGTAATGAGCAGGAGGAGCAATACCTTGTGATAGATTGTCGAACAAATTAGACGACTGCAATACATTAATATCGTTATTGGATCCTGATAAGCCAAAGTATGCATGCCATATCCATAGATCATATGATGCTACTGCCTCAAGAATAATGGTTGAACCTCCATGACGACCTGAGTATTGTCCTGCCCATGCTGTTGGATAATTTTTTCATTGCCAATGCATACAGTCTAGACTTCCTAACATTCCTGAAAAACCTCTTTCTTCGCCCTTTTGCAATAACCTTGCAACATCGTCGACATTGGGAGTCCTCAGATATTCATCTCCATATACTTCTACAATTGCTCTGCAAAATCTCTTTAAACATACAATTGCAGTTGACTCACCGATCCTAACATATTCGTCAGTACTATCTGCTGATGTTCCATACGCCAACATGCGAAATGCCGATGTAACTTTTTGTAAAGTTGATAGCCCAAGTTTGCCGACACCATCCATCTTCTGTACGAAGAAGTTGTCATGCTCACGTACCGCCTCGACTATACGAAGGAATAAACTCCTGTGCATCCGAAACCTTCTACAGAATAGGTTTGCACCATATGTAGGGTTATCAGAAAAATAGTCATGGTAAAGTTGAGAATTACCTTCTTCCCTCCCGCGATTGATCACCAAATGACCAGGAACTGAGCCAATACGCTTTGGCCGCTCTGCCTCTTGAGAGAGATAAGTTATTATTTTATTATTAGAGGCATGTACGCGAACTAAGAGTTCATCTTCCTTCTCCCATTGTATCATATCTTCCTCCCAATCTTTAATGTACTGAGAAAATATTTCGTCGTCGTCAGAAAAAGAAGAAGAAGAAGGTAGATGTGACGGACCGGCTCCATAGTTCATTGATGAAGAAGTTTTTTAAAGAAATAATCATATAAGTTGTGAGTTATTTAGAGATGGATGTAATGTCATTATATAATATGACTCCCCGCATTGGATTCTTTTCAGCATTGGCTTGTAATTCCTTTCGTGTTGGAGACTCCTCACATTGGATTCTTTTCAGCATTGGCTTCTCACCCCCACATTGGATTCCTTTTGTGTTGGAGACTCCCCACATTGGATTCTTTTCAGCATTGGCTTCTCACCCCCACATTGGATTCTTTTTGTGTTGGAGACTCCCCACATTGGATTCTTTTTGTGTTGGAGACTCCCCACATTGGATTCTTTTCAGCATTGGCTTCTCATCCCCACATTGGATTCCTTTTGTGTTGGAGACTCCCCACATTGGATTCTCCTAGTGTTGGAGACTCCCCACATTGGATTCTTTTCAGCATTGGCTTCTTACCCCCACATTGGATTCCTTTTGTGTTGGAGACTCTCCACATTGGATTCTTTTCAGCATTGACTTCTCACCCCCCACATTGGATTCCTTTTGTGTTGGAGACTCTCCACATTGGATTCTTTTCAGCATTGGCTTCTCACCCCCACATTGGATTCCTTTTGTGTTGGAGACTCCCTTTCAGCATTGGCTTCTCACCCCCACATTGGATTCCTTTTGTGTTGGAGACTCCCCACATTGGATTCTTCTAGTGTTAGAGACTCCTCGCATTGGATTCTTTTCAGCATTGGCTTCTCACCCCCCCATTGGATTCCTTTCGTGTTGGAGACTCCCCACATTGGATTCTTTTCAGCATTAGCTTCTCACCCCCACATTGGATTCCTTTTGTGTTGGAGACTCCCCACATTGGAGTCTCCTGGTGTTGGAGACTCCCCACATCTGATCCCTATATAATACTTGCATAATTTTTATATCTCCACCATAACTCTTCTTATTCTATATTCATAACTCTTTACATTCCTCCTTAGATTATGGCATCTAGTCGCGGAAAATCTTTTTTACAAGAAGAAGACCAAGTTTTATGCGCCACGTGGCTCGAAATTTCTCAAGATCCAGTCATGGGTTCTAATCAAAAGAAGGACAAGCTGTGGGAACGAATTTCTGCTTTATTTCATGAAAGGATTTCCAATATTTGTAATGCTCAAAGGACTCCAAAGTCTCTTTCATGCCGAATGCAATTAATTATGAAGGCCATCAGTAAATTTTGAGGATGTATTCAACAAGTCGAGCGCTTAAATCCAAGCGGTGCTTCTGAGCTTGACATTGTAAGTATTTTGAATAACATAAATCTTGATTATCATCTACTATCATGTTATTAATAAATGTTTCTTCCTCTCTTGTGGTAGATTAAATGTGCTAGGATAATATTTGCATAAGATCCAGAAGAGAGAAAGGGGTTTCTATTTGATCATGTTTGGTCAATTTTAAAAGATGCAGAGAAATGGGCAAATATAAGTGTCAGATCGCCTGCAACTTCCAAAACTTTAAAGTCCCGCTCATCTCAGGGATCAGATTCAAGTTCTCCTGTCGTCGACTTAAATGACGATAATGAGGAATATACTCATAATGACGAAGATATGATAACAAGTCGACCGACAGGAAGGAAGAAAGAGAAGATGAGGAGGCGACAAGCAACTGAATCCAACCTCGACTTGGAAACTCTCAATAAAAGCAATTAAGAAATTGTCGATATTTAAAAAAAAAGTCATGGAGAACGAGAAAATGATAAAATAACAATGCACCAGATTATGATGTTAAGGGCCGAAAACGAAAAGAAAAAATTAGATATTCAAAGGGAACGCCAGGAAAGTAAGATTATGTTGATTAATCTTGATACTATTACTGATCCTTCGGAACGCGAGTATTTTCGAATTAAAAAACAAGAGATTTTAAATAGAAACACAACCGGAGGTTCTTCATCTGATATTCCTAATCCTGAATATAGTTATGCAGGAAGTCAATACGGAATACCTGACTACAGAAGCGGTGGATATGGAGGAAATGGCCTGCCCGATTTTTAGTTTTTTTCATGTACTTTATTTTCATGTACTTTCTTTTTCTATGTAATGCCGCTGAATGTAATATATAAAATTTCATCATTCGGAGTAGCTGTGAAGGTTGTTCCAAATATTATGCTATATTTTCTGCTTTTTAAAATTTAAAGGCTCTTATCTATGTCTTATTATCAATTTATTAAAGATAATTACTTTTATTTAAATAATGAGTATATTATATATTATACTTTTAGTATTAATTTATAATATATTTTATATTTTAAATTAATTCATATAATTTTTTAACATTTTATATTTTTTATATTTTTAAATCTATTTAAAGTATTATAAAAGAAATCAATTAAAAATACAAATAGAGTTTCATATAGAGGGGGTGGTTGGAGTGCACCCCCTCTAAAAAAGCATATGCTCAAGAATATACTTTGGGGAGGCTGCATTTTGCAGCCTCCCCATTGGAGTTGCTCTAATATGCAAGAAGATGCAGTAGCAAAACTATTTTGTTGGAGGGTAAGATTTGTGGTCTTTTGGAAGATTTTTCCAGACTAAATATAGTTGGCTAGTCTCTACAAGTTTAAATTACAATCTAAACTAAGATTGACAAGTATTACGATTTGGCAACTTCTTTCAACTTATAATGAACATTTCTCAAAATTTTATATGATTGAAATATTAGAGTAAAAAAAGTCGACTATAATCAATATGTAATCCTCTTTTCTTAATTGAAAGCCAAATTGCATGGCCACTAAGTGCATAACATATCAAATCAGTAGAATGTTAAAACAGCAAAAACTTTCTTAATCTACGCAAGGATTGGAGAGTTTTCCCCGTATTGAATGAGTTCAAAGGACACATTCAATAGAATAGGTCTCATACCAACATATCAGCCTTCCATTCAATGTTACATGAGGAGATCCTTTCTACGCGAGACATGAAATGCAAATATAAATAAACTGTATCTAGAATATTTATGAATTTGTGTCATATATGTTTCTGACATTAAGCTAATACGCATGATGCATCACCTAGCAATTTCATTAAGAAACTCTAACGAGCTTCTTGTCTGGTATGTGTCCTTTCTTAGTTATAGCATATAACCTAATGATTTCTAATAAGTCAGTCAATCCTTTCATGAAACATTGCGCATTTCACTTAAGGGGCTGTTTGTTTGCTCAAAAAAGAGAGAAATTGAGGATTTGAAATCTGACAACAACGCCACATAGGATTTTGATTTCAAGACATTTTCATTCCCCGCGTTTGGTTCGCTGTGTGATTTAAAGAAATGAGGGGGTGAAATGGGGTGTCACGTCAGCTTTTGTAGAAAACTCATTTCAGACCAAAATGGGCTGAAATGGGTGAGAAATGTCACTTCAAGCAATTTTTAATTGCTCAAAGCACTGTTGAAACGACGGCTAGGATTAAAAGGTAATATTCAATTGCTCAAAGCACTATTGAAACGGCGGCTGAAATGATATTTCTTAATTTTTGGATGTTCAAACAAACCTAAGAAATGAATATCTTTGTTTTCCAGCCTATGATTTCAATGTGAAACAAACCAAATAAATCAAATGGGGGAAACCCTCTAAAATGTCCAGAAATGGTTTTCAAACACTGTTTTCTGTTTTTTTGGGAAATGTACCAAACAGCCCCTAAAAGACAAGCTCAAGCAAAATAATAATAATAATAATAATAATAATAATAATAATAATAATAATAATAACAACAACAATAACAATAACAATAATAATAATAATAATAATAATAATAATAATAATAAGCACCAAAAGCAAAATAAAACTTCTTCACATTTTACCTATCGATCAACTTCTCTGCAGCCTCACTCTCTCCGGCCTGATGCATGGCCTTGAGCACCAAATTATAGGATGCTGCATTGGGAGAGATCTTAAACTCCTCCATCATGGCAACCAAATCCAACAACTCTCCGGCCGTGGCCCCCAACATCAAGTTAGCCCTGAGGTAATGATTGAAGAGGCCCACATCGGGCTTGTTGGGCTTCCCGCTCGCATCCAAGTTCCGAATCCAGTACTCAAAGAGCTGCTTCAAATCCGACCACCTCTGCGATGTCATACAGCCAGCAAACACGTCCATCAAGCTCGGCACATCTAGGGTTTGAGAGAAGGCCAAGATCTTGGGGTGTCCGATGGGGACGAGGGACTGGCTGGAGTCGGGGACGGGGCTAGGGTTTCGCCAGTTCTCGTTGTAGAGTGGGGATCCAGACGAGGGATTCGGCGGGAGAGGAGAGATTGAAGACGAATGAGGGACCTGGGGCTTTGGATCTTGGGAGTCTTCATCTTGATGAGAAGAAGAGGGGGGATCGTAGAGCTGAGGCTTCTGAGAGAGGGAAGGGAACGTGGAGATTAGGCGGGTTAGGGTTAGGGTTTTGGGGAGGAGGGATTTTGGGGAGGATTGTGGCTGCCATTAGGTGACCTCGAGTGAGGCGTAGGGTTAGGGTTTTAAGTGGGGGGAACGATGAGGAGATAAAACAAAAAAAGGGCTAAATTGCTGTTAAAGGCTGTATAGTTTGCCCAACCATGCGCTCAAGTTTTAAACATTGCTAAAAAACGCTCTAAGTTTGTATGGCCCTACGATTAAATACCTTGGGGCTTGTTTGATTTGGGAGCAGGGGTGCTAAACTGTATCCGTATCCGAGTAAATCTTATACTTCTATAAAAGTGTGTTGGATGTTAAAACATTTCTTTTAAAAACGCCCTCCAAAACACATACATACATACATCTCTAGCACATCCATACATACATACATTAAGATATATATACATACTTAATTTTTCATAACCTCCCTATTTATTACCATCAAATTTTTATTTACCACCCACTAATAGCATTCCCCGACTAATTTTTCATAACCTCCCTATTTATTACCATCAAATTTTCATTTAACCACTCACTAATAACATTACCCCACTAAGTCTTGACATTACACACTAATAATGAAAAACGTTACAACTATTCCTCTATTCGTATTCGTAAGGGTATCCGTTAGGATACGAATATGGTCGCTCAAATCTATAACCGATAGGATATGGTTACGAATATGGTTTTATAGTGAAATATATGCATCTGTATCCGAAATATCCGAATACATACTAGTCATACTCCTACAATAGTTTCGATGCTTAGATTATGGATATGTTGTTAATTATGATGATCAAGATGTCCAATCTTAGCTTTTTAGCTATAATGAACATACTAACAAACTCTTTTGTATCACGTGAACTATATTTTTCTCAATACTGTCTAGTTTTCTCATATATGTTTTGTATCCGCATGCATATCTACTTATAGATCTGCATCTATATCCGTAACCGTATCCAATTTTAGTGGATATGAATATGAATGTTCATTACCGAGGCATAACCGTATCCGTATCCGAGATAGGTAAACGGATATGGATATATGGTAAGCATCATATCCGAGCCGTATTCGGACCGAATGCACCCCTATTTGGGAGACAATGTGAGTAAAGAGAAGGTAGAGCAATAGGGGATATATTATCCCTGTTTGAGAGGTCATTTGAGATGGTTAATGTGGGTAAGTTAAGATAATAGAGGGGGGCTTTGGATTTTGTTCCCCCAAAATTGGGTGTAGTTGAGGAGAAGGTAAGGGAATGTAATTCTTAAAAAAAAAAGAATATTACACAAAAATACCTTTAACCCCTATATCAATATGAGATTCAAATGGATGAAATAACATGTAATGTATTTATGTAAATTTACATATATTTTCTTACCTTCCCTTCACTTTATTAGACTTTCCAAACGGGGTGAAATAAGTTCTCATTGACTCCCCTTACTAATTTTCCAAATAAGTTTTACATATTCCGTTACTTCCCTTTACTTATCCTATGTTCCCTTAACATCTCTTTACTACGTGTAAATCTAAGCAAGCCCTAAAGTTTTAAAACTGCACTAGAATATTATGAAAATATTCACATGTGAGCTGTCACATGGTTATATGTTGCAGTTTTATACCCATATAATTCATACTAATTACTATTAAACCACCCGACCTTCTTGTTATATCATGCAAATAGTCAAGTGTTTATCCCTAAATGAGGAGCTGACAAGTATCCCACTATATGCCTAATCAGCCATATTTGAAGAGGGATGACTCGAGCGACTTTAGCGGTGGACCCCACCAGGCCGAGAACCTGCGAGGCCGACTAAAAATGCGGTACTTGTCAACCTATCTGTAAGACGAGACAAGAAGCATCTTCACTCGGCCTACCATTCTGGTCGATCCTACTCCTTTTCGGCATTCGGCTCTGCTGGGCTAACAACTTGTGAGGCTGACTAAAATAATGGTGTTTATCGGCCTCCGGTGAGACGAGTCGGAAAGCGGTGTATCGTCGAGCCCCCTGACGATAGTCAATTTCATCACATTAAATGTATTATCAGAGTCATCATTTCTCCAGTCCCGAAAATTTTTATGACTCATCAGACCTTGTCAGCACTATGCGCATTCTGTCACCTATACATTAAATGCCTGGTTGATACATCGCCCTCTGCAGCCGATACATGTAAAGTAAATGCCAACGGAGCCGCCTGCTTGACTCGGCCAAAATGACTCATTTGCCTCTTTGGATCTACTATAAAAGGAAGGTGTTGTCTTGTGACGCCCCTGTTTTCACACATGGCTGCAGTCCAAGGTAAACCCAGAGATGTCAAACCTGCTATGCACCCACACTGTGCAACAACAAGTTTTACCAATCACAGTAATATCCTCTAGTGGGATCAAATAAAAGAGTAGGTACAAAACAGGCAAAGAAGTAGAACAATAATAATAGACATGATAAAGATGATGATATCTCATAAATAAAGGTCATGTCTCAACTAAAAATAAACTGAAATACATATGGAGTCTGAAATAACATACGATGTCTCAACATGAATCAAAACGGAAAGTCGAACTAAGGCACATTGCCTTCACAAAATGAAACTAAACTCTAAGTCTGAATAAAATTTAAAACTACAATAGAGCCTCTAATAAATCTCTCGGGACGGCGACTATGCAAGAACTCTGTCATTCTGCGGCTCTCCGGAACTCCGAGCTACCTGAAAGGGTATTTTTAAAAGAAAAAGAAACAACAACAAGAGCGTCAGAGCGCTACAGCAAGATTACCCCCGTCCGTCCCCAAGGGAAGGGCTGCTAGGATGGAGTGGATGCTCTATCTATTAAGCATAGTCTACCTATATTATTTTTCCCGTATCTAGCGGAATTAATATTCAGATACCTACAAAACCTACAAAACGAGACGTAGTACGTCGAGCGAAATAATCCAAACAAGGAAACCCTCATGTATATACCATATGTCCCGAATCGTAAACATCTAAACATTAATACCGAAATAAGAATAAGCAATCTAATAAAACCAATAATTAGAGATCCATAACACGAGACTGGTACGTCGAGCGAAATAATCCAAACAAGGAAACCCTCATGTATATACCATAAGTCTCAAATTGTGAATCTCTAATCATTGATCCCAACTAAGAAAAAAAAAGACAGTAAAAGAAATAAGATATCAACATATCGTATTTATAATATCTTTCACAATCACTGGAGAGATAGAATAAAATACCAACACATAATTTTGTATACTTTTCAAAAGTAACGTACCTCAGTTATATAGTTTACTGATAGGTCGTATTTATAATCGGTATCTGTCATACTTAGGCTATCAAGTAATTATCTCAGTGCGACAGACTACCCTATAGGTATCGTGAACTGTGTACACGGCTCATTAGTCCCATCGCTATCTCAGTGCATAACATGAGTGCGGGACGGACTACCAAATAGGCATCCTAGAAATACGGCTCACGAACCTCATCGCACCCTAGTGCGGGACGGACGGCTAGATCAAGCCTCCTAAAATCCGACTCAATGGCCTGTACATGTGGAATATCGACGCACTACTTCATGTAGTACTGAACTGAGCTCATCAACGATATCCACCTCATATAAATCTTTGTACCTCTGGCATGTCGATGCACTATCCCATATAATACTGAGCTATGCTCATCAATGATAGTTACCTCATGTATAAACCGTGTATATCTGGTGTGTCGACGCATTATCCCATATAGTACTAAGTTGTGCTCATCTATGACATCCAACATGTATATGCACTATATCTAATTCAAATATGATCAAATAAAAATTTATCATAATCCTCTTTGGATTCTTAAATGTATAACATAACATATTCATGACTATACGTATAACATCAAGCGGCTCAAAACTCCGCGAACGCACCTCAAAACGGCGCAACACAGCTCCACAAAACGAGCAGGAAAAACAGACGTGACATCTGTTAGTAAAACAAGCATATCTTTCTCTAGGAAAACTATTTTTACAAGTGGTTTTCTGTTTTGAAAACTAGATTCACACATCTTTCAGATGACATAAGTTTGGTTCAGTTTGGAGTTCATTTGTTATCCCAAATCTTTAGTTAAACATTATATATGTGCAGCCGTTTTTCTACAGGACATGTTGTTAGTAAAAAGATCATATCTTTCTCTATACAAATGATTTTTAAGATTAGTCTTCTGTTTTAGAAACTAGATACATATATCTTTCATTTGGTACTAGTTTGGTTAAATTTGGAGGTTACTTTCTATTTTGAAATCTCAGTTAAACATGATACAATTGCTGCAGTTTTCTACAGAAAATATTTATTTAGTACATCACTTAAATTTCTCATATATAAATAAAATTATGAAAAACCCTAATGATCATGATCATGATACTATCATTAACAGCAAGAAAAAAATTACTAATCTAGCATTGGTTTATGTTTTAACATCAAAAATTTAAATTTTATCATATCATGTTAAGATTCAAGTATGAAAACACATATTCAACATCATATTAAACATCTAACTAGTTATTTAACTATGGGGAAGGGTTTGGGTAAAGATAATCTTACCTTAGACGTTGTTCTAAGCCTTTGAAATAACCAGCAACCAAAAAAAAGTACAACCAAGCCGTTTTCCCCTTGCTACACGTCGATGATCTCGCCCTCGTGTCGATATTTGCTTCACAAAGCTCTCAAAATTCTCAACTTTAGGGCTAGGGATTTAGAGAGAGGAAGAGGGGCTACTAGGGTTTGAAACTCTAATGTAAGGATATTAATTTTCGTAAAAACACATGTTTATATATATGCAAACCCGAAATAAACTCGTTTGACCCGAACCAGGAATCCTAATCTGACTAGGAAAATGACCTTCGGTATTTTGACCATAACTTTCACGTCCAACCTCAGAATGAGGTGATTAAAGATCTGTTGGAAAGTTGTTGAAAAAACCTACAACTTTGGTCTTTTGAGTTTTCTTAGCTTCTGAGTGCATCATAGTGTAAAATCTATAAACTCTTAACTGGTCATTTTTCTCAGATTTTTCTCGTGCATGTTTTGTGCATTTGCGTGTAAAATCTATAAACTCTTAACTGGTCATTTTTCTCAGATTTTTCTCGTGCATGTTTTGTGCATTTGCACTCATATATTCATATATATGTATCGAATTGATCTCAAATCAATTCCTAGCATACTCAAATATCAATAAACGTTATTTATCATGATATAACATTTTTATTATTATATTTCATAATCATTCAGAATTACGGGGTTTTACATGTCTGCTGCCTAGGGTAAGAAATTTCTGCCAAAGAAAACCCTTATACATTTGAACTCTTCTTCCTCACTCAAGCTCTAAACTGACTTGACCATTGAAGGAACTACCGGAGATCCCAACTCCAACCTCTTAAGTGTTCTTCATGTGTAGAAGAGGACAAATCAGCTCAAGAATCAACCATCTGAGGAAGCCTGAGGACCATAACACCCCCTCATAATCCACGAATAAACCCCCTATTAGATAATTGTCTTCAATAGTTTGGAACCCATCATGGGGCATTTCATTCTTCTTCATACGAGATGGTTGGTTCTGATCGTCCAGGCTAGTTTTGATCACCCAGGCTGATCCTCTAACCCTTCCGCCGATGACTAACACTCAAGCCCAACTAGAGGAGTCTGCTTGGAGGATTTCACGATCTCTTCAATAGCAGTTTGCTTCCTTCATGAACGAACTCCTCAAACAGATTCCTCCTCAGCAGCCCTCTCCATCGTTCGCTCCTCCTCCTCCCCCTCTTGTGGATCAGGCTGAGTAGCAACCACATGAAGACTATGCTGAGCACACCTCTCCTCCACCTCTCCAGCAGGTCCACTTCACCGCGACAACCTTAGCCATAAGCCGAGGTAACAGGGGAGGGACCTAGCTTCGGTCATGATGGCCATGAGCAAACCGCGTAGACGGCTTCACCCAACCCTAAAATACCCCTATGTTGCTTTGGGTCCTTCAGCCACTAACCTAGCGTCAGATAACCGGACATTCAACATTATTGCCGAGACCATCGAAGGGAACACTCTACTCTCCCACTGAAGAATGAATTTCTCTTACAACAAATTCAAGATGCCTCACATTAAGAATATAAAGGCGAGGGAGATCCAAAAAAGCATGAACAGAACTTCTATGTGTTGGCCTTCTTGTTTTGATGATGATTTACAAACAATTTACTTCTAATGTTGTTTGTCTAGTGTTTGTGTTTTTATATCAATTATAGAAAAATAACATGTTGGAGGATGGATGGATTGTGCCATATCGATCATATCAAATGGATGTTGGCGGGATAGTGGTTGAAGCCTATGCAATTCAAGTTGAAGATCCAAGTTCTAGCTTCATCCGCATTGTGTACCAAGTCAAGCTTATTGAAGATCAAGATCAAGCTTGGGTAATATTAGTTTAGGTTTGTTTTTGTTTCCAAGTTTATATAAATATGAAATTACATCTTTCATATTTATTGTTTTGGTTTTTCAAGTTTAAATATGAAACAATTGAATATAATTGGAAAATACACTTTTGTTTCATGTTTATATACTTACATATGATTTCATCAATATCAATTTTATTTAGTTTAATAAAATCATGTTTATTGTTTTGAAAGTTTGCAAAACAAGTATTTTTGTAAAAATATTGTTTTCTTGGTTTATAGACTTAACAATAATCATATACATCTTTTATTAAGTCTACAAAATCATTTTGTAATGTTTCAAAACATGGTTAAGCTAAAATGTCAAAACTCATGTGTTCACATTTTTATGTTTTGGACTATTTTGCAAAATAGTGATATTTCTTATTTGGGAGGTCCTTTTTGAAAACCAATTTTTGTAGCATGTTTATTATCATGTCTACAATCATCTCCCAAAGTTTCATAATTTTGGAATTTATTTGATATTTTTTAACATGGTTTAAAGTTGAGTTTTTCTGTGCACTTCAGGTCCGTGCATGTTTAGTCGACTCATAAGTCGACTCACGAAGTGCAGCGCAGTTATGATTTTTCTTCTGCTGAGTCAACTCATATAAGCCGACTCATTAGTCGACTCATAAGTCGACTTATGAAAGAACCGTTGTACAGTAACGGCTAGTTTCTAGCAGTGTTTTCTGGGGGCATTTTTGGTCTTTTTCTTGGGATTTTTACTGAAGTTTTGGGTTCCTATAAATACCCCATTGCTCTTAATTTTCAGTTAATCCAAGAGAATGTTTTAAGAAAGTTTAACAAGGGTTTAAAGTTTGGTTTAAGTTTATTTAAAATGTTTTTAAGCATTTTTCTAGTTTCGAGTTGTGAAGAGAATTTCACAAGAGCAAGTGGAGATCATCATTTAGTATTTGAGCAGTCACTCTTCTCCCTCTCTCTTGTTATCATCTAGAGAAGTTTTTCTAAACTCATTCTAGCTATTTATTGTTTTGTTTCTAATTTCCATAAGCTAGATTTATATTGAGTTTAGTTAAATTGTTTTTATTGAATCTCTTTGTTCACACACAACCTATTGAGCTTATAGTATTTACATTCATAATATATTTTGGGTTGTGGGGTTTGTAACTTAGAGTTGTGCCTAATTGAGTTCTCACTTTGTTTAGAGAACAATCATTTGTTGTGTGCCTAATTGTGAAGTTCACTTTGTAATACACTTGTATACCGAGAAGAGTGTGTGGTGAGGACGGAGTCGATACCGAGAGGAGTGGCGTCGGTGGCCTAGTTAGGGGTGTGCAACGGTCGGTTCGGTGTGGTTTTTACCAAAATTTGAACAACCGAACCGAACCGTCTGTAATTCAAAACCGAACCGAACTGTTGCAAGTCGGTTCGGTGCGGTTCGGTTCGGTTTGTTCGGTTCGGTTTGTTCGGTTCTAACTTCATCAAACTTCTTATCAAACAACAAACTGTATTAAAAAAAAAGATATCAACAAAGTAGGAGATTATAAAGCATTAAACACTGATATAATGATATTGTTTTCAACCCATAATGATTCAGAAAATAAGTTTAGGGTTTGAGTCTTTGACTCTTTGGGGACGGGTCGGGTAGGGTTTCAGATCAGAAGGGGTAGTATTGCACTATATTCGGTCGGTTCGGGTCGGTTCGGGTTAAAAAGTTTTCAAACCGACTCAAACCGTCTTACTGATAAAACCGATTTTTTGGGTCGGTTCGGGTCGGTTCGGTCGGTTTTTCGGTTTGGACCGAACAATGTTCAGCCCTAGGCCTAGTGAGGGGTGATAATTCCGAGCACTTGAGGGAGTCGATACGTGAGGACCAACACTTGAGGTTGTAGCTTGTGTATGTACTTTGTGAGGATTTGTGAGAGTTGTCGGTTGACTTGATAACCGAGCGTGTAGAGTTTTCGGTTAGCTAGAAAACCGAGTGTGTAGAGAAGTTCCGGTTTCCAAACTGGGTTGTGTAGTGGATTCTCCCCGGGAGTGGGGAGTGGAGACGTAGGATGAAAGGTCCGAACTCCGTGATCATATTATTATGTTTGAGTTTGCTTTGTGTATATTTATTCTGCATATTGTTATATCGCCAATTGTTACATGTTAATGCTTATTTTACCCTTGTATTATATTATATTCCTTGCACATATCTTGTAGCATATCATACTTGCTAGGATATATTTGTTAGTAAAGGTTTTAATTGGTATTTAAATCAGATTAGATAGGCATAAACCCTATTCACCCCCCCCCCCCCCTCTAGGGTTAGTGTCATAGCGACCTAATGGCTAACACTATGATCTGATGAACATGCAGCAAGCGTCGGAGCCGGTCATTTTTAGAGCTTTCCCCATCATCCTAATAAGGAGTGCCAAGGTGTGGTGGAACTCATTGGACCAGAAGTCCATTGATAGCTTTGAGCAGCTCAGTTAAAGTTTATACATTATTTTTTAGCCGACTCTAAGCAAAAGAAGTTGTCCCATATCTTGCTTCAAATGAGGCAAGAACCTGGAGAAAGCCTCAGAGACTACTTCAAGAGGTTCCAAGCCAAGAGGCTGGAAGTCGATGATCATGGCAATATGGTCGCCATGGTTGCAATTTCAGCAAGCCTACAGAATAATAAGTTGGCCAACTCACTCATTGGTTGACCGAGTTACCAACTATGAGCAGTTGATAGCTAGAGCCCGAGGACTCATGGATGCGAAAGAAGTCTGAGCCCATAAGAAGGCGGCCAGAGAAGGCAAAGGCAGCAGCAATAGCGACTGCAGGCATACACTGTATGGGGCCAGAGTCCCCTCCTAAGGGGGGAGATGGAGTACGCCCCCCCCCACCCCACTAACTCCAGACCAAGCAGGACTAACAAGAGACGAAAAAGTGAGGAAGCTGCCAAGAGGCCGGCCCTCACTACCCTCAATACCTCTATTACACAAGCCTTTTACATGATCTAAAAAGATGGGTATCTCAATTCCACTCCTCCCTATATGAAGTCGAACCCTCCATCTTGAGACACCGGGCAATTTTGTTGACACCATGAAGAATACGGCCATCATACTAATGATTGCTGAGTCCTCCAGAGAGATATTGAGAACATAATATAGAAAGTATTATTGAAGAGGCTTGTCTCTCAGCAAGACAAGAGAAAACTCACTCCAGACAGATCTGACAGAAGGTCCCGCTCTAGATCGTCTCGTCCATAGTAGTAGCCTGCTAAGACCAGCAATCAAGGCATCTTCAATACTATCAGCGATAGCCCAACGGCAGTAGGAATGTCCAACAATGCTTGGAAGAAGTATGCAAGACGATCGTTGCATGTCAACTTGTGTGAGAAGAAAACATCGAGTGGGGCAGCCTCCAGTAGGCTTGCTTTTCATTATTCAGTTCACTTTCCATTTTTAATTGTAGGAATGAGGTGCTTCAATATACTATTTTCTTCTATCTGCATGTGCATCG